ATACCCCATTTCTGTTCTTTCCTTCATCTGCATGTTACTGGCGTTTCACATCTCAGGGCATCAGCATTTTCGACAATGAGCATATATAATCCTTTCCTCTTCTATTTCATGATTGCGTTGCATACGGTTGGCGCATATGGCTGTTTGGAGCAGCACTGGATTAGAACAAGATGGGAAGGGAAGATGCGCAGCATAAGCAATGTAATCATTGCGCGCGTGTAGGCGAATGACAACCTGGTGGGGCAACACAGCCTCAGGAATTATATCGTGTAATGGCGGATGCAACAATAAGAAGACCAAGTTTCACCCATATGCGTCCCGTCTCCTTTGCGCACGTGCAGTTGTTCATAACAGACGATGAGCAAGACATGCTTTTTTGGATACGTGGAAGAGGAAGGGACATGAACAATAAATAACGATTTATCAACTACAGTACCACATTTGAACGCCACGAAATGCTACTTTACTACCCCGTCAACGTTTTACTGAAATAAACTGCCTCTAGCTTAACTGTTCATTCTACTTCCTCCTCTTGCCTCCACCACCACCGTCCTCGCCCTGGTGACTCCTCTTCTTGCCCTCCCTGGCCCAGTACTCCTGCTTCTCCCTCTTCTCGCGCTCCGCTCTCTTCTCAGCATTCTCAGCCACCTTCTTCTTGTACGGGTCTTTCCTCTCTTCCTGCTTCTTACGCCTCTTCTCCACCTTGTCATTGCGAATAGCAATGACCTGGTCCATAAGTCTTCGAGCCTTCTTCTCCTCACCACCGAGGACGACAGCACGCTTCTGCATGTATGTCTGCTTCTTCTGAGGCTTCGTCGTAGCGATCTGCGATTTGAAGGGAAGATCTGCGGCGAGTTTGCGAGGCACGCGGAGTGGGTTGAAGACACGGGTCTCGCGGACGACCGGGCGGTAGGCAGAGTTCTTCTCAGAGGGTGTAGCGATGCCATTCTCGTAGCGTACCACACCTGTGAGACGCATACCTTGCCAGGAGGTGCTTTCGCCTTCTTGGTCAGGGGTGGCGGGGTTAAGCAGGTTGGTAACGGTGTTGTAGAAGCGGCGGGGCTTGATGGGGTACCAAGCTCTTAGGAAGACGATGTCGCTCATAAGGATCTTATCTTCAAAGGTAGCACGGAAATTTCCTTCTGGCTTGCTTAGTGCGCGCTTGATTTGTCCGCGCACACCGGAAACTGTGCGTATGCTGGCGCCTTCGAATTTTGCAATTTCGAGGCTGGATTTGAACATGTCTTTGATAAAAGCGGTGTTCTTGAAGATCTTGTAGGGGTGGCCGGTGAGTTTGAGTTTCTTTACTATCTCGGTGGATTCGTCTACGTTGAGTACGACACCTGTTGCTGCGATCCTGAAACCGGGCGTCTTATTCGAGAGAGACTGGATGCAAACGAATCCGGTGTTCGGGGCGACCAATGGGCCATAGAAGGTACCGAAACAATGCATGTGTTCGGGGGTGTACTTCAGCATGCGATTCCTTGTCCGTGAATCGGAAATACTATAGATTGGGGTGGTCTGGAACCGCCGCCAGCCCAAGGAGAAGATGAGGGGATCGTTAGTCTTGAGGATCTTCTTGTGCCACCTGTGGCGTTTGATACGGATCTGAACGAAACCGAATCGCTCTTCAGTTGGGGTCAGACCACCGATAAGAACAGGGAATCGTGGGTTGAAATGCGCAGAGAACTCGTAAGGTACTTTTTCGAGCACAATACGTGCATAAGTACCCGCCTTGTGACCCTCAACGCGAACGCGAGATAGCTCATCCAGCTGGTCGAATTCGGCGCGGTTGATGTCGAGCTGCTTCTGAATCATGGCCTTTTGTGCGTCGTACCAGTCGTCTTCACCAAACTCTTCCTCTTTGTCACCTTCTTTCCGTGCATCAGCTTTATCGTTCATGAAGCCTTCGCGGTCTTCTTCTTCAAATCGAAGCTTTAGCTCTTCTTTCCGCCGTGCGTTCTTCTCGCGCTCTGCTTCAATTGAGTTTGCTTCAGCTTCGGCGCCAGTTTCCTCAGTCTCGCCACCGTGCTTCTCGCCGGTTTCCAAATCTTCAAACTCGCCGTCACCTTCATCATCTTCGTCAAAACCTTCAAAATCGTCGTTTTCTTCATCATCGTCACCGCCCTTGCCGTTCATATGACCGGTAGCAAAGCGGCCCATGAGAGCCTCGACGTTTTCCTCGTCTTCCCACTTCTCCTCCAACTCTTGGTAGTTGAACTTGGGGATGTAGCGGTCCTCGGCATTGGCAGCGTCGTCGGCTGTTCTCTTGCTGAAGAAGCCGTCATCTTCGTCACCTTCTTCATCGATGTCTTCCTCCTCTTCATCGCCTTTCCATTTCTTGATGACCTCTTCTGGCGCTAGATCCATATTGTACATCATCTTCGCCAGATCTGTGACGCGATACGGCCGTTTTCGTCCGTGTAGTTTCGCAGCATTCTCCTGAAGATTGGCCTTCCATCGTGCGCCGTCTTCAATGTCATCCTCATCGGAGTCTTGCGAATCAAGGTCACCCTCAAGGTCTTCCAGATCAGGTTCATCACCAGATATCGAACCTAGATCAGAGTCACTGTCTGCAAACGCCACATCCTCAACTGTATCTGCATCCTTCTCTTTGCGCGAGACCTTCAGCTTGCCGTTTGGTGGTCCGTTGGTGTCAAGGAACCCAGTATCATCTTCGTCGTCGTCCGCATCGCTATGGTCTTGCTGTAGTTCTTCGTCGTCGCTATCAATTCCCTCAAGATCCTCGTCGTCGACCTCTTCAGCGTCTGCTGCTCTAGCTTTCCGTTGAGACCGTCGGCCCGTATCCGCGGTATCATCCTCGAGAGCCTTCCTATCCACGACTTCGCCATCCTTGAAGAGCCTGAAGTTTCCATCGTCTTCGCCAAGGAGCTTTCGCCCACCCTGCAGTCCGATCATCATTTGCTCACCTAGTCCCTTCTCTGAGTAGTCAGCCTCAGGGTCGAATGTCGCAGTCTTGACGTCAATGTAGACGGCGTCTTTGTCGACAAGCACACCGCCGACATCCGACATTGGAGCATACAGAATCTTCTGCTTCTCGCCCAATCTTGTGCGCTTCTTCTTTCCGGAGGCTTTTTCGACAGCTTTCTCAGCAAAGGGCGTTGGGCATGGATCGGGTAGCGCTTCTGTGGAGGTAACTGTGAGGTCTCCAACACCAGGTATGTGCACTCTCGATCCTCCAGCGGGAAAGTTTGTGCCGCGCAGATATCCGTACAATGCTACCGTGCGATCGCATTTCGGGTTCTGTTCGATATCGGTTGGAGGCGTGATGTCCAAAAACCTATCCGCCAAACAGTACGGATGCGAGTTCCTCCATACCAGCGGCCTCGGATTCTTCATGACACTCAGAAACCTCGAAAGATTCATTATCTCTCTGTCCGGGTATCGCCCGTTCACCACACCACTGAGGTAGAAGAGCTTCGCACCCTGATACAACTCGCTCCAAAACCTGTGCTTGAGTCTCTTCTTCTGCAGCTTGAGCGTCTCTTGTTTCCTGAACAGATCCAGATGTGTCAGGATTCCGAAGACGTTTCCTGGCATACCACTTGCGCTTAGGACGTTCAAGAACTCCATGGTCTCCATCTCGAAGCCGTAATTGCCATCAATCATCAACAAGACTATATCCACCACTTTTGCGATGTCGATCATGCTGGCGAGCGAGTCGGCGGGACATTCTAGGAAGGTAAGACGTCTACGCTTCGAGGTAACGACAGTGAGGGGACCAGTGGGCGTAGAGAGGGTCTGCTTGGTGTATCGTCTGATTAAACTCTTGATAAGAGTGGTTTTGCCGACACCGGGAGGACCGACGACACCGACAATGATTGGAGGAGCTTCTTCGGGAAGACGGTCAACGAGTGGTACGTGGAGGCGCTTCTCTTTGACCTGTACATGTCAGCTAAGGGCTGCGCAAAACTTGGAATCCGGCCTACTTCTGTGGAGCGCGCGGCCTGCCTCTTCAGTTTACCAGGCGCAGAGAATGCGAAAGCTTTGGGGTTCTTGTCTCCAGTATGCGGTTTCTTCTCTTTCTTTGGCCGATGCGGCCGGTTGCTCTGTGCGTCCGCCATATTGACTTGGTGTTCGTGTCTCACTATCAGACCTCAGTAGAAGTCGTCAGAGTGGTGTCGAGGGTCGGGACTCGTCGCGCGCAAAGTCAAGGTCCGGCGGCAAGCAACTTCGCGATCCCAACTTTTTCGACGCTAGGCCAAACGCTAAGGTTGCAGCTGCAGGGATATGCTTATCGATAAGCAGACGCGCCTTCTACGTACTGTGGTGGGGCACAGGGCACATGCCTCACATGTTGGGCATGGACGGCCGCACGTCATCCCAGACGCCGCCTATCCAAGGCTCTAGACTGCTCCCGGGATTGTTGACAGGGTCCTCGGTCTACGATAGCTGAGGTATATAAGACACCCCTACGCTTTGACCTTCTTACATCTACACAACACCACTATAACTCACTAAACTACCCCTCAACTAAACAAACACCCCCTCACACAAGTCTCCAGCATGGCTCAGTTCAACGTGGGTCCTACCAAGTCACACTACCGCTGTTATCGTACTAACACTCCAAGATCACCCTCAAGAAGGACGCTCCCAAGGAGGAGCTCGAGGCAGCAAAGAAGCACGTCACCGACCAGGGCGGCAAGATCGTCAACGAGTTCACCCTCATCAAGGGCTTCACGTACGTACTGGCATGCCCACATCTCCCCGCAACAGGGCTGACATGTCACAGTGCTGAGATCCCTGACGACGCCGTCTCAACCCTCGAGTCCAACGAGCACGTCACCGTCGAGAAGGACGCCGAGGTCCGTACGCAATAGGTCGTCTACACAGCCACCGCTGATGGGTACCACAAAGATCCAAATGTAATACCGTGAGTGACGATGCGGGGGCATGATGCATGAGCACATGATTTCATGGGTATATAGCGATAATTGACAGCCGTGCCGATAACTTGTCTTCTCCTCCCTCTGGTGTCTTCATTTCTGCTTCCTCCTTGCGCTCTCCTTGGCCTCCTGCACAGTGTCTACCCTCCCCACACCCCTCAAACTAAGGTACACATCGGTACCCCATCCCCAGAGACTTTGTACCGCAATACCCCCACCAAAGTATTCCGCGTAGGCCCTCCCCAGCGGCAATCCATAGCCCAGCCCAGCCAGACTGTTCACTCCATCACCGCCTGCTCCTGAAAAAGCGTTTAGCGCATCCATGCCGTTGGCTGAGTTATTACCACCTGAGAGGGTCGAGGTTGCTTGCGCGTCGTTGAAGGTCGTGAAGCTGTAGTCCCAGATATGCGAGAGGTTGTCGGGGGAGATGCCACCGCCTCGGTCGCGGATTCTTATTGTTACTCCCGGCGTGCTGTGCTTGAGGGGGAGGATGTTCGAGTCGGGTGGAGGCGGTGTAGGCGAGTTGTTGCCTGTGAAGCGCTGCGAGACTTGGTCTACGTTTCCCTGGTCCTCATTTTCAATCTTCTTATTGCGAACGTCTTCTACGTTCTCGCTTCTCCTATCCTCAGGTACGAGTTCCGGAAGTGGGGCAATGGTCACTTCGATGGGTTCGCGCTCCATGCCACTCTCTACTGTCGCGCGGAACGCGTTCTTGAGCAGTTCAGTGATGATGTATTCGAGGTGAACAGGTATATGCGCAAATTCGTAGTCGGGTTCGCCGTTGATGACAATGGTCGGTCGGACGCCGTATTTCAGCTCGCAGATTTCGCCCACCACGTTTGCGCAATGATCTACAATCCTCGCAGGCCTGAGCCTAGTATCGATAACACCAATATATCCTGGGTTCTCGTCTACGTCGTGCATCACATCGCAATGCGGTTGACTGGAGAAATGCAGCGAGAGGTGTTGCTCTGCAATCAATCTCGTGCCTATGCGCGCTCGTAGATGCTCGTCCAGGAAACGCGTCACATCCTTGGGACTGATGTACTTCCTAGCCTCTAAAAACCCTCTTGCCAGTATACTAATAGTATTGGCATGTGTTTGTACCAGGTCTGCCATGACCTCCGTAAACTTGACTTCCTCCTCCAGCGTCGTTATCTCCTGCTCGGCCCATGGTAAAAGCGTCGACAAGCTATGCATGTAATTCGAGTGTATCTTGGAGACATGAGGATTAGATACAACGATAAACGGGAGGTTGCGGAGCGATTGTATTCGGTGCGCGAGGCGGGCGGGCAGGATCGAGAGGGTAAAGTTGGCGGATGTGAGGAGTTGTTGGGTTGTGAGCGGAGGTCTTCCGTGTCTGTTGCGCACGCGACAACGTTAGCCAGGGTCTTTGGTAGATGGACTCTGAATCACGTCTGACAGTACTCACTTGACTAGATCGGCGAGCGTCAACGGATGCAACGGCAAGCTTGCCAAGTGCGAGATGTCGTTGTCGGTAACCGTCTTGGTATGCAGCTTCCGGTAGCAACTCCCTCTAGCAAACAATGCGCTGCGTGTCTTTCTGGCCGTACGCGGACAGCACAGTCGTATCATCTGCGACTGGATAATCAGAGGCCGTTGAACCTGTGCCATGGCTCTGTGTTGCAGAGCTCGATGGTGGGTGGCTTTGTGGGTGGGTGTTGGAATGACTCGTCGACCAAGTTGTGAGAGGGTGAGAGAGATATCTTGTGACTGCTAATCGAATAGAGTCATGCAAGTGCGATCATGTGGCAATTTCCAAAGCTATTAATTGATCGCCATCACGAATGGAAGCTGTTGTTTGAAGGTCGTTCGGACCCGTTGCGTTCCATTTCGGCGGGAACTATTGAGTTGTGGGGGAAGCTTCACCAAGCTCAGCTGGGCATGCGGGATGCTGTAAGCGGTGTGAAGTCTGATGTCATTTGTTCGACCAACAACATCCTGGAGCAGCCCATCAATACCACACTCATTCCACATAAAGGATCACAGTCGGCAATACTCATAGCGTGACATCTTGCACAAACAGACTATGCATAAAGTTACGAGGTTTCCAAGTGAAGATCGTATAGTTTAAAATAAAGTACAAGAACACATCTCATCGTTTTCTTAGAGGCGCATTGCCATGACACCCATAGTCTTTCGTCCTATACAATATAGAAGAAGCAAGTAACAACTTTTACCCTAGGCCAAAGCCGTTCAGCAACGCCACGCAATGCTCATACTCAATCTCCTTGTCGTCATATCAAACAAACGCGAATTCGAAGAACTTTTGTGAGGTAATCAAGCCTCTGGGTATATGTTTGTAAGACCTGTTGGAACACCAGAAACAATCGACTTTTGGCACATAATATCAAACATCGTGCGAGGAGCTGCTGATGGAACTGCGACTGGTACCATCGGTAATATGAGTCGCGATACTCATGCGCTGGAACGGCGAAACTAGGTTTTGTTCGCGAGATGGCGGACTCGACAAACCCTGACTTCCCGCTGGTGACGAAGGTGGTGGGTGGCTTGGCAGAGCATCATTTGCGCCGTAGCGCTCCCGGAGACGCTTGATCTCGCGAAGTCGGTTACGCCAGGATGATATAGACTCGCCTCCTTCACGAATGTACCATACACTGGAGAAGACGACCGCGTTGATGGCCATAAGGCGGCAGTAGTCAGCAAGGTACTTGCCACACAGAATCTTTGTCTCGACAGCAGGAGATATATCGGGGAAGCCTGACTTTGAAATGGTCTGGATCTTGTAGTAGCGATTCCTGCCGTCGGGATCTGCGTCCAGTCGACGGTCAACGAAACTAGCCCTAGACTCTGGGGAAATCACGATGTGTACGTAGTTGAAGGCGGACGGGAATGTGTTAAAATCGTAAGGTAACCCTGAGTCGTTGAAGATGATGTTGACAAAGTCGTTACCAATATGTCGTTTTTTGTTTGGGTATGTCATGTCGTCATCGCGGTTGGTAGGCATCATTGTAGGAATGTGGAAGACGAGCTCCATGCAGCGGTCGCGCCAGCAATAGGTAAACTCGCCATCAATATCCTCGCGAGTGTCCAGACCACCAGTGTTGAATTTTGCACCCTTCAGACGGCACAAGGTACCTAGGTCGCTAAGGAACGCGGTATACGCTGGGGACCCCATGTCGTTCATGAAGATGTCTCTTTCGTTCGTTTGGCCTTCGCCAATATAGATGACACCCACTTTATAGTTGTCAACCGTTGCGATTCGGTCGAACGTAGTAATAGCACGGCGTGTCGGCTCGTCATCGGGCAAAGGAATTGGCGGATTACTGAGGTCGAGCGGCGCGTAGAAGGATTGGAAGATGTCGTCTGGTAGAATTCCAACATAGGTGTTGGAGTAGAATGCTTCAGAGGCAAGGCCGATAGTGATCGGTACCTGGTGTCGCGGCGGTGAGGTAATTAGGGGCCGCACCTTGATGAAGCGAGTACCGCACTGTCAGTCGTTAGCAGATGTATTAACCATTAGCAACTCGCATGACGTACTGGCCGACGGGTTGTGACGACGGAGGCACCTGTCCTTGCCGCAGTCTCTATTGTTATAAGAGCATTACCAACGATCCAGGTCTTCTTCCAGACTTCGCCATCGCCAGGTTTGAAAGAGCTCTCCTCCCGCGTCGTCTCATCGCGATCTGTATATGCTACCATATTCATGATATCTAGAATGACTTGTCCTTGCTCTTCCATGACTTGCCTCCCAGAGCTATCAGTATAGTATAAGTTCTTTGTGATCCACGGTATCTGCTTCGGACGGTCCTCCATCTTCAATGCCATGAACCAGAATGTAATGACGTGATACGCGAGCGAGTAAAGATACTGGGGCAAGTCGTCCTCAACACTTCTTGGCTTGTTTGCAATGGAATCTGACGATGCCGCAAAGTCTCGTGATGCACCACTATGCCGCAGGGTCCGATGCCCACTTTGCAACGAATGCCCATTGACCGTCCTGTCACGCTGGTCGCGTATGTGTTGTAGGTATCGGAAGCACACACCAAAAACCAACTTGAACTCATCTTCACGGAAGTTCTTAAAGAGTTCCGGAAGACGCGCTAGAGAAGTGAGGAACTCCAAGATGTGTATCGCCGTGGCCGGCTTGGTGATGATTTGCGACATTTTCTGAATAATGCTGTCAAGTGACTTGCTAACCGAGAGCGGGATTTCGAAACAGCAGACCGACAGTGCGTGAATACACCATTTTGAGGTTCTATCCCATTGTACGATGCCCTGCAGGAATGCTTTAACAAGATCGTCTTCTTCGCTCTTTTCGAAATACTCGTGATAGCTGATGATGATAGTCAGTATGTGAAACAGGCACACTGCAACATCAGCCTTTTTCAGAAGCGTGTGCGGCGGAGGTTCGTGGAAGCTCGCATTCCGCACCTGTTCACAAAGAACATTCCGCAGCATCTTGAGCTGAGCAACACAACTGCGAACCAGCGCTTGGTTCGAGAGTTGAGGTCCAAGATGGACGAGTACGTAACTATAGATCTCCCAATCAGGTGGTCTCTGTAGAAGTGAGATGATCAACTCGAGCCACAGTGTAATTTCCATGTCTAAGATGTCATCATCCAGGGGATATTTTGCCGCGTCGATGTGAGAGAACACGACCCGGCTTGAGTCAGATGGAGGTTCCTCAGGTAATCCTTTGGGACCAGGATACATCCACAAGGGAGGTATCGGTTTCGAAACACGACCGGCTGGAGCAGTTGTGCGGCCTGTATGTCGATTGAGGGAAGACCGAGGACTTGAACCAGAAGTCTTGCGTTGCTCGCGCCACGAGAGAGTATCTTCTGATCTGCTATGGTCACCCGCTGAGCCTTCATCCATCTTTTCCGGTGCAACCGCTGTTTCCTCGGTGCGGCAAAGTTCAGCGGCAATTCTCTGGCCTTCAGGGTCAGAGCTGACTATCAGAGCGTGGCGGGCATCAGCGCGCAAACGAAATAGTAGTTTGAGAGCAGTAAGACGTGCATCATGCGCATAAGCGTCCCTTCCAGCAATTTGCCGTAGTAGTTCGTAAAGAATGCGTGTCTTTTGCGCCGAATGTGTCACGCTTCGAGTGAAGAGCCGTACGTAAGCAGTTGCGATGATGTTGCAAGGGGAACAACCATCTTCTTTGAGAAAAAAGGGGTGAGACTGCCATGACGGTAGAGAGGACGTCATGGAAGCTTGTGGGCGGTCCAGACGTCGCTGTAAAATGAGAACAATGTGTGAGAACCGGGCCGTTGATGCTTGATCAGCGACGTTCATCGCAAAGTCCACCAGTTCTTGCAAGACTTCTATGTCCTCTTCTTTTTGGATCCGGCTGAGAAGAAGTTCTTCGGACTCCAATACTATTTGGCTCGAACACAATAACTCGACAGCATCGTGCGTTTCCCGTAGCGACTGGATTACGAGCAATCGAAGTGAGCGCGGTCTTGTAGCATCGTCGAAGATACCAGAGACCAGACGGTGGCAAAGATCAAGCCACCCGGCGTTCGAAGGGTTGAGGTAGCGTCCGGTGGCAAAGTATTGTATGACCCTCTCCGCAGTCGCATCACTGATACGGTGTGAGATTAGCAAGAAGAGCTCCATCACAGCCTCGCGTTGGATGAAGTCGAGTGCGTCGCTCATGTGATCTAGTTTGACCAACACTTGATATATGCCGTCATCTGAGTCACGCCGAAAGAGCTCCGGGTGGGGTGCAGAAGCGTCGTTGCTATGCTCTGCTCTGCTAGCATTGGATGAGCTGTCTCCATGAGGCGACATCTGTCTTTCAATGACATCCTTCTTTGTGTCGCTCCCATGATCTGCCAACCTAGTCGTCTTGGTTCGAATACGCTCGTCGTCACGTTCTGCACATACACGTATAACTTGTAGCATATCTCCCAAGTCACTTTCCGCAAGTAACAGCTCCCTCATGCCTTCTTGAGCTAGAACCGCATCTATCAAACTGACGACTATCTGCTCCTGGTCGGTGCCTGGTATCTTGATGGAAGCGTTCAAAGCTGGGAAGAGCAAGGACAGGGGCACTTTGGGCAGCTCATTTCGGCCGTCCTCTAAGAGGAGAAGGCGCAAGACCAGAGTCGTGCCCCTGTACATGCTCTCTAGCTTCCTCTTGAGCCCGTCGTTTTCCAAGGTCTCTCGGCTTGGGCCGTCCAGGAGCATATGCAGCAGTTCGGATATAGCAGCTTGACCAACATGGGACTTGAACAAATTGCTCAACGTATTCCAGGCTTGATCCTGAAGTTCGGTGATTCTCTTGTGGATTTCACACAAAACCTCGAGACACATGCGAAGTGAGCGCCTCGGGATATGAACGTAGGTGACGATGGTGTCGAAAAGCTTGACACCGCACTCGACATCAGGTCGATGAGTTGTAGCCCTGCAGATGGCGACGGTCCGTCGTATGAGAAGATCCAAGTCGTCGTCGGTAAAGACCTTGGCGTTGAACTTGCAGATGTCGGTAGCATACTGGAAGGCTCGAAACATGTTTGCGGCTTCTTGGGGAGGGTTGGCGGTACTCCTTTTCCCATTCGCTTTGCTCCTCATTCCGCGGAAGGCATCACAACTAGCCTGGAAGCAGCTGTCCAAGGAGGTCAGGATGAAGGAGACCATGCCCGACTCGCACGAATCGATGTCGCGCCCATGATTGGTGAGGGTGGTAATGACTTCAAGTCTCCTGTCGAAGAAGTGGTCGTTCTTACGCAGACAGGCGGCGTCGAAGAAGAGAGTGCGCTCGATGCTGGCCAGGTCAGACAGGGACGCACAGCTCTTCAGGAGCTTGTACCCCGCCTCTGCGACATCGTCTGGCTGTTCGGGAAGGAGCAAGTCGCTTGCGACAGACCATAGCCCCAGTATGTTCTGCACGGGATACGCCTCGAGGATGTCACATATCTTGTCCACGGCCACGGTGCGCTCGGCGAAGGGGCGGTTCCGATGCAGCTGCTCGATCAGGTCGTCGAGTTCTGGTGGTCCGCCGGTAACAGGCTTGCCCGTCCGCTGGCCTGTGACCTGGCTGATGCGCTGAAGGGTACCGTCGGCTGAGTGCGGGCTAGGGATGGAGCCGGGACGTATGGTGCCCAGCGAGGGAGTGCGCGCAGGCGTGCTGGTGGCAGACGAGACAGAGGGCGGCGGCGTCGGGCTCTTCAGACGGCCGCCCGTCAGAGAGCGGAAGGCTGTGAAGAGCGCCTGGGTGGAGGAGCGGCGGTCGGGCGTGTGGGGGACATGGTCGGGCGGCGGAGACATGCGTCTGGGTGTCGCGGATCAGCGTCGCCGGGTGAATGTCTAGTAGGTAGGCTCCAGGACTGCCGCTGCAAAGGCTAGAGAAGAGAGCTGTGAGAGTGGCGCAGGCGCATCGAGTCTATCATGGGTGCTGGTCGGCGGAGAGGCGGGGCTGTCTATGGTGCCCATTTAGGAGTGGGGAGGGAACGCGGCTGCACGGGACGAGGCGGCGACGGGTTACGCCTGGGGAGAAGACGAAGTAGTGGCGTGCTCGGCGAGGAGAGAGCAAGACAGCATCTTGTCGTGTCATGGATGCTCTCTCGGAAAATCATCTGGGGTTATGTACCTAATCCCTGTCCACGCCAGAGCTCTTCCTAGGCCTTAGCGCCCTAAAGTGGGACACCCCAAACAGCAACCATCTGCCAAACATTTGCTCTCTTTCTCACTCCAAGCCACCCGTCTAGATCCTCTGCTGCTTCCACCCCATCACCATGGCCGCCGACATCGCTACCCTCTCCCAGCTGCTCCAGGCCAGTTTGGACCCTCGGCAGAACAAGCAGGGTGAGTACCATTGTTTACCGCAGTGCTGCACGTCGTGTAGCCTGCACTTCTCGTGCAAGACGATATGCATACATTTCCATGCATATCCGACGCCAAAGCAGTTTGTCTTGCACATGCCGACATATGCGCATTTTGCCAACTTGCCCCTCCGCCTCTCAACACTATTCAACACCACATGCTAACTTTTCAAAGCCGAAGAAGCAATCACCCAAGAGCAGACCAAGCCCGGCTTCTCCCTCGCCCTCCTCCAGATCGTCGCCTCCGACGCAAATCCCCAAACCACACGCCTGTCCGCTGCGCTATACTTCAAAAACTTCATAAAGCGGAATTGGGTCGACGAGGATGGCAACTACAAACTGCCCGAGAGCGAGGTTGTGGCAATCAAGAGGGAACTCATAGGCCTCATGGTATCCGTACCCGCAAACCTACAAGCGCAATTGGGTGAAGCCATTAGCGCCATTGCCGACAGCGACTTCTGGCAGCGATGGGATACCCTGGTCGACGACCTGATTTCACGACTCACTCCCGACAACACAGTGGTCAACAACGGTGTATTACAAGTCGCGCACTCCATCTTCAAGCGCTGGCGCCCGCTGTTCCGATCCGACGACCTCTTCACCGAGATCAACCACGTCCTGTCCAAGTTCGGCACTCCCTTCCTCCAACTGCTCGAGAACACCGACACCCTCATCACAAACTCCCAAGGCAACCCACAGGTGCTCAAGAACGCTTTCACAACCTTAGACTTACTTATCAAGCTGTTCTACGATCTTTCTTGCCAGGACTTGCCTCCCGTCTTCGAAGACCACATCGCCATCATCTCAGGGCTTCTCCACAAGTACCTCGTCTTCGACAACCCCGCATTACACACCGACGATGACACCGAGTCAGGGCCACAGGAATATGTACGCGCGGGTATCTTCGAGGCGCTCATGCTTTACATCCAAAAGTACGAGGACGTATTTGGCTCCCAGCTTGGACAATTCATCGAGAGCACATGGAGTTTCCTCATGTCGGTTGGCCTCGAGACAAAGTACGATATCCTCGTCAGCAAGGCGTTACAGTTCCTCACGGCAGTCGCGTCTACGCAACACGCTGAGGCCTTCAACAATCAGTCCGTCTTGGTTCAGATTATCGAGAAGGTCATCTTGCCCAATCTCACTCTGCGCGAGTCCGACGTCGAGCTCTTCGAAGACGAGCCAATTGAGTTCATCAGGAGGGACTTGGAAGGATCCGATAACGACACTCGCCGTCGTGCTGCCACCAACTTCTTGCGTCAACTTATGACCCGCTTCGAGACCTTGGTCACAACTACCTCCCAAACGTATATCGATGCCTACCTCCAAAACTACGCTCAGGACAGCGAGAACAACTGGAAGTCAAAAGATACCGCAGTCTACCTTTTCACCGCCATTGCCGCCAAGGGAACCGCTACCGCTGGCCAAGGTGTTATGAGCGTTAACGAGAATGTCAACATTCTCGAGTTCTTCCAGACACACATTGCAGCTGACCTCCAGGCACAAAACGTATCACCCATCTTGAAGGTTGACGCTATCAAGTTTCTCTACGTCTTCCGCAGCCAGTTGTCGCCAGACCTCTGGCGGGCTGCGTTCCCTCTGCTCGTAAATCAGTTGGGCAACGACAATTACGTCATTCACACATACGCTGCTATTGCTGTGGAGCGTGCTCTGTACATGACAGACAGCAATCGACAGCCCATCATTCCCAAGGCAGACGTTGTCGGTTCATCGAAAGACTTATTGACACACCTGTTCAAGCTCATCACAAAGAGCTCCGCGCCGGAGAAGATCCAAGAGAACGAGTTCCTGATGAAGTGCGTCATGCGAGTACTCATCTTTATCCGTGACGGAGTTCTACCGATTTGCGAGACCATCCTACAGAGTTTCATCAACATCGTCAAGGTCATAAGGCACAACCCTAGCAATCCTCGCTTCCAGTACTACATGTTCGAGGGCATAGGAGCACTCGTTCGATTTTGCGCGCCGAAACATCCTCAGTTCTTCGAGGAAAAGCTCTACGAGCCGTTCGCTGCTTGCCTGCAAGCCAATGTCGAGGAGTTTTCCCCTTACATCTTCCAGCTCTTCTCTGCGCTGCTAGAAGCAAACCCTTCAAGTGGGTTGAGCGAATACTACAGGGGCCTGTTCGTTGTCATCATCCAGGGTGCTGTCTGGGAGCAACGTGGTAACGTACCAGCGCTAGCTCGTCTACTGAGTGCAATGGTCGCTCGCGACGCAGAAAACATCGTTGCAACCAAGCAACTGGAGCCCATACTGGGTATTTTCCAGAAGCTTGTTACCAGCAAAGCGCACGAGACGTACTCCTTTGAGCTTATTGAAGCCGTTGTCGCACACATTCCAGCGAACGCGCTGCAACCCTACTTCTCTACAATTCTCCAGCTGATGCTGACAAGGCTGTCAAACATGAAGACTGAGAACTTCCAGCAGCGTTTCATCGCATTCTATCACTTCGTCTCGGCACGACTGGACAAGGGACTTGGCACAGACTTCTTCATCGAAGTTTCCGATCAGATCCAGAAAGAGTAAGTTATTTTCATGTTTCGGAAGCTATTGAAACGCTTGCTAATGTTATAACAGTATTTTCAAGCCTATCTATTTGACTGTCATCCTTCCAGACACACAGAAGCTCGCCCGCCCGACCGATCGCAAGACCGCTGTGGTGTCTTTTACAAAGACACTGGGCGATTCGCAAGCTTTTGTTGATCGTTACCCCAAGGGTTGGGCCCTTACGACACAGCGCCTGGTTGAGCTTCTCGTCAACCCGCCTGTACCCACGTCTGCAGACGACATCATTCCTGATGCCGATGTCGACGAGCTCGGTTTCGGCGTTGGTTTCACCCAGCTAAACACCTGCAAGAAGGCGCCGCGAGACCCCTTCCCGGAGATCACTAACGTGAAGGAGTGGGTGGGAAATTATTTGAAGGACGCTAACAGCCGTCACAATGGCCGTGTCGCCACGATTATGCAAGAGCGTTTGGATGACACTTCCAAACAGGTTCTTGCTGGTTACTTGGCCTAGAGCTGTATGTGCTTCGAGGAGTTGTTTAAGGGCATCGGAGAAGACAAATGCATCTGTCTGCATATGGGGTTGGGCGTGGAAAAATAGCCGAGCCGGCTTTTTAGGATTTAGGATATGATACCAGGTAGAAAAAGTGGTGGAGTTTTCAATAAGGAACAAAGCTGAATTCATTTTCGTGGAGCACACACATAGTGTGCATGATCAAATCACTGCATCTAATCAAGCTTCTTGCACCTCGTAGCTCACCTTGGTGACACCTTTCTGTCTCTTGATATTCCTCACCACGATTTTCCCACACTCTTTCAGCTTCTGCACGTGCGTACCCCCACAAGGGTAGCTTCCTTCGCTTCCTATCTCCACGACCCTGACCCCATCCTCTTCATCCCCTTTCAGAGTCTCCATGACCCCTGTACACTCTTTCTTCGCCTTTTCTTCGTCCCAAAAGTGAATCTTGACGTCCATGTCTGCAGCCACCATCTCGTCGACTCGAGCCTGTATCTCAGCCTTTTTGTCGCTTGGAATGAGACCCAAGAATTCTACAAAGGCTGCGCCAGGGTAATGGGATGCTTTTCCATCAACCACGTCCGGAGCTATTGAACCGGCAGCCCTGAGGTGGGCAGCTGCGAGACCGATTACGTGGCCTGCCGTGTGGATGCGGGAATGCAGACGACGTTTTTCTACATCGATGTTTTGTTCAGCGTCGACTTTTCCTTCGAACTGCTTTTCTGAAGGAGAAGAGAAGACTCCCATATGCAATATCGTAGGATCTACCTTTCGCACTTGATGCACGTGGAATGTTGTGGATCCTGCGGAAATGGTTCCAGTATCCGAGGGTTGGCCGCCGCCCTGAGCGTGGAATATTGTTGAAGGCGTTGTTAGGACGTAGGGTTCTGTTTCTGGTGGTGGCTTGAAGAGCGATTGGGTTTCTGGAGACAGAGATGATAGTGGATGGAATGAGGTTATGGGTGAGGTATGGTTGTATTTTTGGCCATCTTTTTGATAGAGCGGGTCTGTCCTTTGGGAAAGAGGGTCTGCCATTATGCTGAGAGGTCTCGAGATATGCGAGGTGCTAATGATGGTGAATCGTTTGTAGGTGTGCCGAGTTGTTGGTGCTCGATATGATGTTGTGCCGCGGAAAACAATTGCGAACGCTGGATATCTCAAAACTTTGCGGCACATGCAGCGGATGATATGCTCATATAACAGAAATGAAACGAGATTGAGTCACTTGCAATGACCAAAGTCGAAGTAGGAAAAGAACCTTCGAGATGATCAGAAGCGTAAAGTATGGATCGGAAATGCGCCCTTAGGGTTTACATGCACTTAACCGTTTTAGGCAGGTACGAATACCTGTTCTGACGTCTTCTCTTGTGTTGAACGAAGCAAAACGTATTGTCGTCGTAGACAACCATGCACACATAAGGAACTCTCCAGGACCTGTCACTTGCGTATTATTCTTCGTGAAGGTGCACAGGGGCAAAAAAGGCTACGTTGATGATGTTGCAAGGTAGCGCTAATAGTGCCTGCTTTCTTCCCCGATTTTGGGACCGTTTCTTCCAATTATCTAAGAAAGAGGTCGCTCTTATCGAGCTGTGTCTATGAAAACTCATTGAAATACCCCGAGAAAGAGTTGTTTGAGGCAAACCAAACCCAGTATTCTAGCTCCATCCAACCTTCCCAAATGACGTGTTTATCGGACTCCTATCTGACTGCGGCAGCCTTGAAGCAACTGTCGGGATGCTGAGAAGCGGTCTCCGCACTGGTGGTACTTCCATCGGTCTACTTGCTCCAAATGCCCGGCGCTTTAAGAATGGCTCTTCCATTCCCCTTTTCCTCCATCTTTCCTGAACTAGGTTGAACTGCATTCCTGGTGGGAACTCAGGAGTTTGTGTGCGCCGATGTTTGTATGGTGACGAGCTGAAGAGGTCGGTGTGCTGCGGTACGCGTCGCCGCCGCTGGAACCTGCGTACAAGCCAGCATGAGAGAAGAAGGCCCAGAATGAAGAGACTGGCGCAGACAATATGCGGATGTCTATCGAATAATCCGAAAGATCCAAGAACAAGCCCGGTTTTTAGCTCGAGCCACACTAGAGATGCGAGAATAAGTGCACCGATGTTCTGTAATAACCAGCTTGTCATTTGTAACATTGCTATCATCAGTCGATGAAACTGCTCGCAGCTCCGAAGAAACAGCATTGTGAAAATGAGTTGAGGACAGTATATACTTCAAGTTGGAGCGATACCACACCGATATAAGGTAATTTCGCTGAATCAATAAGGCTTCCAACATTTCACTACTATCTTTGAGCTTGGTTTCACCAGATAGCATAGGTTACTCTAGTAGAGACGGTGATCTCACATGACTTCAGCTCTTAGCAGTGACGATCTGAGACAGCAACACAATCTGCATCTTTTCAGCTGCTGCACCGACTCAATAGGGTGACAAGCTTGGAAGATCGGGTTATAGCGGCTGCGATAGCATCAGAACTAGAAGCAGAGATGGGCAATGCGACGCTGAAACGAGTAAACACTGTGTCCACATATCTATATTACTGCTCGCTGACACAGCGTCACCACAATGTCGCAAGCACAGATCAGTGTCCTACTCGGTCTCTTGATCGTTTCACATTTCCCTTTTGACCCATTTATCATCAGAATCCCTATACAAGCAAGCACTATATGGAGTCTCATCTTCGCGATCTGGAACCAATATCCATTGAGCATTTCTTCGCTGTTATGTTAGCACTAGCCGTCACGTTACTCGTTCTGCTCTGCATTATTGTCGTGAAGTACGAGATGCGTAATCGTTCATTTCTACGATCCCGGTTTCAAGCTGGGAAGCAGTCTTGGCTTGTTATAAGCTATGGAACATTATCACATACTTCACATGCAGATTCTGAGATTTCCATCGCTGGAAAGGCTGTTTGAGTCGTACATCATGACGTGCTCACCTCCATGAATGCTCTCAGCCGGACTACTCCTTTTATCCTTCTTCCTTGGAATGCTGCGCTGGCATTGCGTTGAAAAGAGTTGCGGTAACGAATCTCATTGTATCAGTCCGTCGTAAATATCCGAGTGAGTATGTACGGAATCGGTATCTCTTGTGCTCATCTTTATTGGTAGTTCTGAGTGGAAAAGCTCGCGTGTCCAAGGTATAGATAAACAATTGCAATGATAGGTCATACTCTCAATCTGCAACTCCAGTACGTGTGTCATGTGCTCAGTCCCACCCAGATGCGGAAGACGCACAAGGGAGATGTCAAATCGAGATGCGGTGTGTCGAGCTTGGTATGTCGCACTTTGTCGTGGAACTGTCTGTGTCCTTCTTCGTCACTAACGGTTTTGTCTGCGCGGATCTGGACCGTAAAAGGCCGTAGTGGAGTGAGTAGTCTGGGGCCTGCCTCGCTCTACCTCAGCGCCTCCCATGCTCACATCCTCATCTCTCACTGCGAGACTGGCCACTCCTCCTGCTAGCGATTGGATACGCCCATATAGCGGTGGATTCATATTCCCCGCACCTGCCGTTGTACCGCCTTGAGCCGCTGTGTCTTTCTGTAACCCATCATGCTGCTGCTGAATGTACTGTACTGGTGGCCGCGAGTTCTTTGGAGGATCGAGCCCTCCGTATCGTTTCTTGAGCTCCTTAAGCCCAAGCTCAGTCTTGCCAACAATCTCTTCCTCTTCTTCAACAGCCTTTTCAAGTTGCTCCCATAGCTTTCCAACTAGTTCGTCCAGCTGTGAGATGCGGCTTCCGCTATGCTTTGGTATCCGCACGGGAAAGAACTCTTGCTGCGGTTGCGGCTTCTCGCCATGATATAGGGGAGCCCGGGGCGGACCCTCGACGTGGGTGTATAGACCGATGCCTGTTACGTATGGAGTTGTACCAGGCGGACAAGGGGTTTTGAAGGCGTCGATGAGATCGGCATTCATACGGGCTTTGCGAGCAGCTGCCTCTTCGGATGCGAGAGGCGTGAATTTCGCTGACGGTTCTTCTGATGTAGGGGCATCTGGGGCGCTTTGCTGGTGCGAGGCTGTTGGCGAATCGCTTTCGGATGCTATCATGGCAGCCCGATCGGAATGAATACGGGGTGAATTGACAATCTGTCGCATGTTATTATCTTTCCGGGCCCACTCTGTGTGTGATTCAGGAAGATATAGGTCATCAAAATCGATGAAGAAATTGTGTTGAGGCTCTGATAATCTGGTGTAACATATCGACCCCCGCAGCTTTTTGAATTGCTCCCAATCACGGGCGACTGGCTTCGCTGAGAAGGTGCAACTGTGATGTTTACACAGACACACTCACTAAGTGCAAATGAAAACGTACTTGCCTGTTATCTCTGCGCTCGACTGATGACCCTACCATAATTTCGTGGTGGAGAGCGACAACAACGCTCTACTATGCTCAGATGTCAGAGTCGCGTCGAGCTAATGTCGCGTCCCGAGAACTGTATCGATAGTGGCCGTCCAACTAGCCCCAATACGTCACAGCTCTATTTACTCCATCAATGCGTCATTACCAGATCATCATCGATCCGCTCCCGATCCGAACTCCACAACGTTCAGGAACGCGCCAAAACAAATAAGTGCTGACATCAGGATAAAATGGTATTGGTTACCGTGCCTCCCAGAAAGCGGCACGTCACTGCACGCCATGGTCTTAGATCTCTTAACCTAAGGGGATCGTTGCTGCTGTCCTGTGACCTATGTTGTAACCATGCAGTCTACAAAGTTATTTAGGAATGCTGTTTCCCTGCGTTGCTGCAAATCATCTTCCATAATCACAGCAACCCTACCACGTGCATTCATTACTCGGATTATTCCTACCACCTCTCGACCTTATTCGTCGACCCCGCCAAACAATACCGACCGCTTGAAGGGCCCAGTCGAAACTTCCTCAACTATGCAGGCAGTAAAAAACACCATTGCCGAGAATTTCGGTAAAGTCGTCTCAGGCGCCCATGGCCTCGCACCCGCAGACCAGCAGTTCTCCCTTGAGGAAGTGCCAGATCTCACTGGAAAGGTGGCCGTTGTAACTGGTGGTTCTGAAGGTATCGGCTATGGATGCACGCACACGCTTCTGTCGAACAATATCAAGAAGCTATTCATCATATCGTGGAGCGAAGACATCATTGAGGATGCGCTGAAGGCGATCAAGGAAGAGATGGGAGAGGACAAGGCCAGCAGAGTCGAATGGCTAAAGTGCGATCTCGCCGACTGGGAACAGACGGGCAAAACTGCGCTCGAGATTGCTCAGAAGACAGACAGGATCGACATCTTGATCAACAACGCTGCTCGCGGTATCATGACATACCAACTGGCCAAGAACGGTGTCGATCTACACATGGCTTCTAACCACTTCGGCCACGTCGTCCTGACTTCTCACTTGCTACCCTTGCTCAAATCCACCGCCGAGAAGGGCGACAAGGTCCGGATAGTACAGTTAGGGTCCAACGCACACGAGAACGCACCGAAAGACACCAAATTCGAGTCCATCGATGAGCTCAACACAGACCTTGGCCCAATGGCACAATACGGCCGCACAAAGCTCGCTACTATCCTGTACGCGCGCTATCTAGCCCGTCACCTATCATCTTCCCACCCCAACATCCTGTCCAATGCCACACACCCCGGTTTCGTCGAGACACGGCAGTCAGTCGACCACATCCACGAAGCCTATCCGCTCGGTGGCTATGCAATGAGTTACGGTCTCGCACCATTCAAGAAGACACAGTTTGAAGGCGCAGTGAGCACCATGTTTGCGGCGACCAAGACAGAGGGTACAGGCGAGTACATTTGCCCGCCCGCGATACGGGAGCCGGGTAGTGATCTGGCGAATAATGAGAAATTGAGCGAGCAGCTGATGGATTTCACATGGAAGGTTGTCAAGGAAAAGACGAAAAGTTCAAGCGCCGATAAAGGTTGCCCATTCAAGTTATATTAGAAGTGCACTTGCATAATACGTATAGGTCGTCTAATCGAACGATGTTAACCGATCAATGCACTTATACGACACCCATTACATGTGATGCTGCACTCCCAATAGTAGAGAACCTCGCGGCCGTAATTCGTTGCGTCTCATTTCAAACAACTATGGTATCGCTCGCTTGGCGCCTTGCAGACTAGATCCATAACCCATGACGATACCCCGGAACAATGCAGTAGAACTCACAACGCCTGACCCTGATGAGACCAAAGCTCATTAAGCAATCCCCTCCATACCCATTGGCACTTGGAATCCACTAAGACCCTCTCCAGCACTTGTCAACCTAGCGCAAAGGCTCAAGAAAACTACTGTCTCAGTGGCAGCGAGGTAGTTCAGCGTATCCAGCAAAATCTTAAGATGCCGGGTGAAGTTCTCCTCGTATTTAGCAAGCATGTCGAACATCTTGTCGACACGCTGAGGGTCGTACACAAACTGAGTCGAAGGCCGATGTGTTGAAGCGACTAGTGTAGCGGCGGGCAGCTTGGAGTTCTTGGAAGGGGGAGGAGCGAAGGACGCATTTACTTGAGCGACAAGGTCGGGGTCGCCGGTGACGAGGTAGCGGGAGAGGGAGTAGGTGAAGGATGCGAACATGCTGCATGTTGACATGATCTTGTTGTTGATCTGAAGGTTGTCAGTAATCGAATTCGCTACAAAGAAGTGCTTCTCAACTCACCCGAAGCAGTTTACTGTTAGTAAGCATGCATTCCTTTAGACAAGTCGCAAGGAAGTCCACATGGTCCTGCATCAGCTCATCTACAGTTCGCTTGACTTGCGGACCACCGCTCTCATCCTCTGTTGTCTTCCCTTTACCACGCACATCCTGTTTCTTCTCCTCACTTATCCGCGACATTAATGATGCCCAATTTGGTTCAATAACTTCTGACGTGCAGTAGTAGGTAAGCTGTTGGACAAAGACCAACATGCGCGCACGCAGTGTCCAAGCTCGGCGTTTCCACTGTTCTATCCGTGGGTTCTTTGATCGGTGTTTCCAGGCTGCGTTCTTGCCCTGTTCACCCCAGCACTTGGCCAGATCAGTCTCAAGATGCTTCAAGCTGAGTAGATATCGGAAGAGTAGTTGGTAACGAGTGAGGGTGACCCGGCTAACGACGAGTGATAGAGGGAATGGCATAGCGTAGTCAAATACCAGTGCTTGATAACCGGTAATGTTGGAGTCGTCGGTAATGGGTGCCGAGTTTGCAGGTGTATAGTTGGACAGGGTAGCGGTGGCAGCGTCCTGGTCGAGACCTTGGACATTGACAATCTTCATTAGCCAATTCGTAAGGCCAGTATCGTTGATCTGAACTTTGATGTCCTCCTTGTATGGGTCCTCCACAGCAACTGATCCAGCATGTCGAGTTGCGAGATCAAGCAGTGATTGCAGCTTTCCGACGTTGACATGTTTTGCTGGTTTCTTGAGCTCAAGCTCGCCCATTTCGAGGAAGTAAGTAAAGAAGTCGGAGCGGTCGAGGAAGAAGTAGTGCTTGAGTGAACGTAATCGTGCCGGCAGTTGGTGTGTAGTGAGAAGCAAATTGAGGAGCGAGGAGTTTGCGTAGGCATAGGAGGAGTTGACGTTGTCTAGAAAGCGTGGATCGTCGAAGCTAGTTGGCGCGTCCTGCACGACTTTACTAACGTCGACGCCTCCACACTCTCGAACCACGTTGAGGTACTTTCCTGCTAGGAGCACCTTGTCTTTGACGGCTTCAAGCTGGGGAGGCACTAGGGCGTCGCGTATCGTGTATCTCTTCTCCCAATATTCGTCCGTGTAATCTTGATCCAGCCTTTCTCGCTTGATGCTTCTCTGCTCTTTGATCAGAAACTCGGAATGAGGGTCTTTGATGCCACCATGGTGCAGCCATTCGTTCAGCATAGCCATGTACGGTCTACTGGCTTCTCGCAACAGCGTGGTCAACAGTGCCCGAGCTGCAGGATCTCCTGACATTGAAGATAATCGCTTAGTGATGAGGCCTAGGACGCTCCCGCCTTTGCAAAGCTTCTTGGTCGCGTTGCCTCCCTCGCGCAACGACTCGAGGATGTTTTCAAAGTCATTGCTGTCATCATCCGCTGAGTCCTCGTCCTTTTCGTCTTCGAGAATGCCGTTTGCTTTGAGCAGTTCGATTCCGGTGGTGTAGAGCTGGAAAAGCATGTGACTCGTCTGTTTGGTATGCAAGCTCAAGACATGGAGCGTGAAAGACTCGTTGGTCAGTAGCTGGTTCTCAAGCTGGGCGATGAGTATGAGGTAGTCCTTGAGCAAGCGCCGCACGGCAGCGCACAAGGCGTGGTTCACTGCACCGTACTCTTCCCGGCTCAACACCTCTACACAAGTCTCGACAGCGATGTAGTGTGTGGCCGTCTTCAGCATCGACTTGGTCAGGTCCCTCAGGCTAGGATCCAAGCCAGGCATCAGGCGAAACTGTGGCCCAACCAAACGCTCCTTCTCTTCGTGGGGGTTGTAGCCATCGCCGAAGCGAATGTACTGCCCTTCGAAGCCCATGAAAACAAACAGCAAGTCTTCCAGTATAGCCTTCTCTTGTGCCTCGAGCGACAGTTTTGCGAGCGGCGTGGGTTGCAGCGATACGGGAGCGGTGGATGCGAGCGGCGGTATCGAGATGCGCGTGGCCAGCGGGGCGGTCGTGTGTGGTATCAAAGAAGCCTGGGGCTCCCATGGCGGCTGGGGCTCTTCTGGTATCGACTTTTGCGAGGCCGCGCTGCGTGACGGTCTCTCGACATCTCGCGCTTGTTTCTCCGAGCGGCTTCGAGCATGGACTCGACTCTCGCTGGCATGCTTCAACGGGCTCTTGGTCCGCCTAACCTCCGTCTCCCGCTCGCGCACCTCCTTCTTCTCGACGCGACGCTCGCCTGAGGTTGCGCCTGCGGGGCGCATGGGAGCCGACTGTTTCCTGGCATGTGATGCTGTGGTAGAGCTGCGTCGGTCGAGGTCCTCTCCAGAAGCGACGCGGGGTCGCGCACTCGACGTGTAATTGGCATTGACAGAGCGGCGATCAGCGCTGGACAAGGACTTCATAGTCGGCACGGTGCGGGAGGACATGTTGGCGGGCAAGGCACTCCATGGAGCCTGGGGCACTTTTGTCTTGCTTGTCGCTGCGCCGAATTGATGTTTGGGCTGCAGTAGCCGTGTTGATCGGGTCCCGCTCCACTACGCGTCGACTCGCGCTAGCCACTAAACGACCATGACGCAGCTTCTGCCTGGATACATGTGCCAGACCTCTCGCTCACATTGGAATTCACTATCTAATCATCCTATCAGCTGTTAACTCAATCATTTTCAGTTCAGTTGTACGATGATCTCCGTTGGATAAAGCTATATGCGTGCTGTTGCTGATAGCAAAAGCGATTTGAGATAGATAGATGATAGGTATACCCAAGCGCCATTTCCGCGTCTGTACCCAGGTCCCTCTGGTGAACGCCAAAAATGCAAAAATGCAAAAAAAAAAAAACGGAATCTAAACTTCATATCTTCCTCGCCCTTGCCCAGTGACTTCATTGCCGAACAGCCGACCGGCGTCAACACAATACCGAGCCTCTCCTTGTCCGTCTCTTCCTACTTCACTTCCCCAGCAAACAAGTACTGCGTCTAGGATATTTCCAAGGACTCCTTCCATGGCACCTAGAGCGCCCCAACCAATCGCTGCGCTGATGATGCCGACGACATATGCGTATAGACTGCCCTTGTACGGTACCGTGTCGTTGCCGATCTGGAGCATGCGTGCAGTAGAAACCCAGCCTCCAAACCCGAGAGACAATGTTATCACCCAGCGAATAGCGTGCAGAAGGAGTTTTGCAAGGCGGTATGACTGTATAGACGGTCGCCCATGATCTTTGAACGAGCTTGGGCCGAGGGTCGTAGTTGGCGATGCGGCGGAAATGAAGTTCAATTGGGATAAGCCACGCGCGGCTTGATTGAGAGGTAGACCGTGAATGGATGCGAAGGTTAGGGTGAGTGGATTCGTCAGCGCCGCGATGGGTGTTGGTACGATAGAATATGCGCACATGCCGATCATCCCCGCGAGTCGCCTGGGGAGAACGATAAGTGGTAGGCGAACCATGAGTGAAATAAGCGTGGACATGCAGATCGTCCCAGCCATGGTGTATGTCGCATGGCTGAGAGAGGCTTGGACTACCGTTCTCGCAGCAGGTGCGGGGACGCTGTTACGATGGAAGTACCACTGAGATACTGTAGCTGCTGTTGTAGCACGTTGTACACCCGAAATGACTGCCAACGTCCAGAAGTAATCCAGGAAGAACGCAATTCCCAGCCACCACGTGCTGGTGTCGATGATCCACCGGGATTTGTTGCTAGCAAAGTGGCCGCCCAGGAAAAGACGTGTGAACATGAGAATCCAGATCCAAGACCACAGGATCACAGCAGCCAATGCCGCAATACCCACGAGCAACAGTGGAAACTGCGCTCTCAGGATTTCACTCGAGAATTCCAGCATGCCGGTGGCTTTGTCTAAGGAATGTCGCGCCTTGAAGACGGTGTACACCCAGAATCCCGCGAAGCATAGAGGTCCAAACGAGAGCCAACGCATCAGCCGATCTTGCACGCTATCACCATGCCATGACCCTTTAAAGCTTGACACAAAAGGGTAGAAAAAGAAGGAAATCGATACGACGGGTATTGCCAGTAGCATCAGTTGCACCAGAGGCCGAGCGAAGGACCGAAGTAGCGAGAGCCATAGGACTCCGACTATGACCGAAACCAACGAGTATACTCCGATGAGGTGAAAAGACGAATGTAAGACGGTATATATCGTGTCGCCCAACGGATTCTTCTTGTTTGGGGGCGACTCTTGTAGCAGAGAGATGAACCAAGTGCCAAAGATGGCACATTGCACGATTATGAACAGCTCAGCCCAGAAAAAGTTATGTCGTGGCGCTGACGTTGGGTTCTCTGGTACAACATCGGGCACGGTCTGGCGATCTGGGCTTATCGGCCGTGGATGTTCTAGCAAGGTATCCTCATCGGTTTCCTGTGGTATTGGTAGGGTATTTCGTAGTGGACTGCGACCGCGTTTCGGCCTCGGCATGTTGCGAAACTGTTGGAATGGTGGTGGTGGCTCGTCCTGATGACCCAAGAGCTCGTCTCGGTCCAGCTCTTCTATGCTGCCTCGATCTGTAGAATCGAGCTCCACATCGACGAGATTGCCCCTTCCTCTACTGCTGCGGTCTGTAGTCTCGGAGAGCGGTACACTTGACTCACGTTCTTCATCTTCGGGGTTGTTGATGGTGGTTGATCTTCCGCGTGCTGGCTTGTCGCCCTTCCAGGAGCTCTTAATCCCTCTTCCGAGACCGTACCCGGGCGCTTCATTGTCGTCCCTGTCCGCGCCTATAGTATGGTCCGATCGTTGCGGGTCATCTTCGACTTCGGACGATTCAGAAAGGTTGCTTGCGCCAAATTGCCGCCGTGATCGTTGTAGCGCGTAGTGGTCGGCCATCTCGCGGTCGTGCTCAACATGGTCGTCCTCCTCGCGGAAGTCATCGGTTGCAGAGTAGAAGAGCGGCGCGGGCGCGTTGGATGTCCGTGAAGCGAAGGCGAAGCGGCTCATGGCCTGCGAGTTGTATGGGTTCGGCATGTTGCGACGCTGGAGGTAAGCTTGGGCGGCTCGCGAGGACGGACGTTGCCTGTCGGGGGCGTTGCGGCTTGAAGTCGACTCGGGCTGACCCAGTGACAGCCGCGACTGAGACTGGGAGAGGAACTTGGATGCATCTGGGGAGCACGCACGTCAGTCACGCGAGTCGGCAAGCTCTCCAAGACAGAGGCGGCGGGTCTATCACATGTACCCCGATAAGGCACCAGGTCACTTACACTCGGAGAACATGATGGATAGAGTAGGCGATATAGGGCCTTATGCCTGCTGGACTTGGAGATGGCGTCTAGGTATATCTTATCGCAAGAGATGGCCCGGAGCGAGGGTGGGCTCAGGTGCGACGTCGGTGGTCAGCCGTCGTGAGGCGGTCGAGTGCAAGGGTACCAGAGTACAAGAGGCAGCCGCGGATGACGCAGCCTAAGAGACATGCAGCGGAATGCCAGCAGGTTGCGCCGAGTCCAGCTGGAGATGGGCGAGATGGCGTAGGCAGCGTGGTAGCAATAGGGCAGCGATGAGCTAGAGCCCGCCTAGGAGTCGAGGGTTCGGTGGTTGGCGAGCTGCCGTGGATGGGTTGCTCATCATCGTGCCAAGCCAGCGCGTCGGGTTATCGATAGTCGGCCTGCCGTACCTCGTGAACCTGCAAGGCACGCGCTATTCTCCTAGCCTCAATCACTGCTCCACCCCCCATATGCAAAGCATTCGGTAAACTTGACTCTACGGCGCCGTCGACCTAAAATATCTGCGTCTGCTCGCCTTTTCGTGAGAGCAATTTTTGTCCTGACCGTGTCTGCCCGAGTCACGCCAACCCCGATATTGGCCAGATCCGGTGTGCGGGAGAGACGATCGATACAGGCTACAGAGAAAAGCAACATGACATACAGCCAAAGCTTGCGCAATGTCAATTTGTGCGTGCTTTTGACTTTGCCATGAGACGTGCTTGACATGCTTTGCTGCGGCTCACGCAGCTGCCGAGCTATGACCGCATTGTTGAACCCTGACCTGACTACACCTATCTCACTATCATCCAACAACTTGCCGTCCATCATACCCACACAGAACTGATACTTGCCAACTGCTCTTATCTTGCATACCTTTGGAATAGAATCTGCCGTCTTCGAATACATCTACTGCCTCTGCTGTGATCGTCACATAAGCTTGCTCCCCAGATCAACTTCTATTCCTGTCGCACGGCCTCGCGCAGCATCATGGCTCAGCCGTGGGACTACATAGCCAAGATTGTGTCCTTGGGCGACTCAGGATGTGGCAAATCAAGCGTATGCGACACCATTTCTGCCATCCAGCGCTCCCATACTGACGGCTCACAGCTCACAGTCCGCCTTTGCGAAGGCCGCTTCTCACCACACCACGACGTGACTATCGGCGTAGAGTTCGGATCGCGCATCGTTCCCGTCGGCCCACCTGCCTCTCATTCCTTGAGCATCAACAACCCCTCCAACTCCTCACAACCGCAAGCGCCCGTATCGCCGTCGAAACAGAAGCAGGAGCAAAAACACATGAAGCTTTCGCTCTGGGACACCGCAGGACAGGAGACATACAAGAGCATCACGAGGAGTTACTTCCGGGGCGCATCGGGTGCGCTGCTCGTATTCGACATATCGCGCAAAAACACTTTCCTCTCCGCCACGTCATGGCTGCATGACTTGCGACAAATCGCCGAGGAAGGCATTGTAGTAGTGCTCGTGGGCAACAAGTCCGATCTCGCAGGTTCGTCCACCGTAACTGACTCCGACGCTGCAAATAAGCGGCAAGTCACAAAAGAAGAGGCCGAGGAATGGTGTAAAGCGAACGGGGTCATGCAGTATGTTGAGACTAGCGCCAAGAGCGGAGAGGGTGTGGAAAGAGCCTTCTTGGAAGTCGCAGAGAGGATATACCAGAATATAGAAGCTGGAAAGTACGATTTGAATGACCGGAGGAGTGGAGTCAAAGGCCCGGGAGGTGGAGCGAATAGAGCGGGAGTTAACTTGAACGATGCGAGTAGAAAGGGAAAGCAGCAGGGCTGGGGCGGATGTTGTTGAACTACGGTCCACGTCGACACGGGTATATTAAGTTGGCGTACATTATTTGGCGTCCAAAGAGCCATACTCTGCCCGTATATAGTGTTATTGTAATGAACATATCATCACTTCTGCCGACGCGTTGCCTCGGCCAGGTAGACTAGATGGATCCTGTTGCCCTTCCACCGAAAGCGGCGTGACGAGGCTGAGCGACATATTTGGAACTCTTCGCGTCTTTCCAAATAAGCTCTAGTGGGGTGTATTCCCCAATGAGCGTCAGTCAGATCTCCTAGTGAACATGTTGTGAGGCAGGCACGAGTGCCTCTTCTTCTTCTATCACTGTATGTTTGTATGATGTACACACGCTGACCATGCCCAGCCTCCAAAACGAACATCAACAAGGCGAGCCAAATCTTCCCGGCAATTATTTCAAATATGTACGTGGTGGCGCGCTGGTTCTTGTACACTGAATAGATCGAGCAAAACAGATGATCTAAGCTTCGGTGCGCCATCAGGCAACTTACCCAGTCCCAGACGTTCAATAAGCTATATCAGACAAATCCAGATATTGCCTCGCATGGATTTGCCTCTTTCGAACGTCAAGAAACCAGTCGACTACTTTGCCGTCGCCCCAAGCACAGCGAGCGTCAAGCTCGCCAACGATGCCCACCTTGTTCATAAATGCAACAGCATTTTAAGCAAGACTTATTTACAGTGCAGTTGTTTCTCAAGGACCTATTAGTCGCTAGAAAATGTCAGTGACGGGAACTGCTGGTGCAGGCGACATCTGCCTCTTGCTGTCGTTCTCACCTCTTCAACACCCACTGTTGAGTCTACTACATGCAAGTGGCTGACAGGTTGATAACAATATTTCCGTATCAGAAAAGAAGTTGTTACTGGGCGCAGGATTACACCGGCTGATTGAAGCAGAACATTGTAGCCATATGCATGGGGATAGTGTTAAGAGCTTTTACTGTCGTCTGCAGGAGAGTCCACATAGAATTGAGATAACGCTACATGCAAAGGCGTAGATTTCACATGTTGTCATTTTTCGCGTCAAGATGTTTCAAGAAGCCCTAAAGTTTCTCACATGATAGGATTCTTCCAAGCTATCTTAGTAAGATGCGTGTTCCAGCCTAGGTCTCATTTAGTTCGAATTATCTAGCTGATGTCTTGTAGAGTGCTTCAAAAAAATTCAATACAAGATGTACGCGCTGCCGGTCACACAGACGAAGCAGTTGTGGCATTCAAGAGTTACATTACTGTATGTCCATGTTAGATTGAAGCAGTAGAACCTGGAGCATAACCCACCGTTTCCTTGGACACTATTAGATCTCAAGTCTCTCAGGTATGGCAAGATGCATGTCGACTCATCAGCTGTACACATCACTCAAAACCGAACAGGCAAGCATTAAACAGCTAGACACGTCGCGAATGAGTTTGCGTCACGTCCAAAGACTACTGAGACGACTCTTGACGATCTTCATGCAACTGGGTTGGAAGCTACTACATCAAGCACTTTTTCGATGTATTACTATTCAATCCTTTGGAAGAACTGAGACCAACGGAATAAAAAGCGCAATTCCGTCGAGTTTTCAGCCACAGCCGGCGAGCTCGAAGGACTGCTCGATAACGACGACTACAATTGCCAGCACCAGGAGCCCAGCATAAACTGCACTGTATGTAACGAATACAAGATTCTCTAGCAAATGCGTGAGCATATCGAATTCGTCTTACCTGCGATCGGACTTCATGGCTTATTTACGGTAGCTCAGTCAAACCTAGGGACTATAACTTTGACTAACACCAACGAGATTGTACTTCGTGAGCCTAAAGGTCTCTCGATAGGTTTATATATCGTGGCCATCCGGTGTTTGCGCGCACCTCATGACATTCTAATTGTTGTCAAATGCAACCATACCGCAAACGAGCTCGGTATCGTTCAGTTTACAGACTAAACCTACCTTCCAGGCCTTTGAGCTTTCTTCTCAGAAACCACATATCCCACACGATCGTATCGAAGGTAGGGTTGTGGATCAGTCGTTCTGTGACCGGAGCCAATGTGGTAATGGAGACTGCCTTCAATATTCAGATCATGTATTTGTTCATCTAGCCACAGCAGAGTTAGGTGCATCCAATTAGTGGCTTGATAGATATTGATACTGCTGGGAGATTCTATGTCTTCGTGGACGCCTTGGTGAGTCTTCCCTATCTGCTTTAGGATGTGACACCGCCGAGTAGTGTTGTCTCTCTCTTGTACAGTCAGATCGAAAGCACATTGCCTCAGTTCTACGACAAGCAGCAATGCCACGAATGGGGAAACCTAAGTCTACAAAACGTTAGCGTCGTTGTTACATCGGGCGTTACGAGTGTTGCGGATACGTATGATGATCACGGTAACATCCATCTGAGCGCTGAAGTTGGTTATGTCGAAAGTGGAAGAACGCACTTCGCACGAGATCTCCCCACAGTTGTCTTTATATACATCCCTTCGCAATATCTCAAGCACCCATTTCACCAATACTAACACTAGGCAGATTACCTCTGTTGGTGCTACAGCACACCTCAATGATACTATTGCTAGCAGCGAAAGAACAGTCGATAAACTCCTGGACTTACAATCATACTAATCTAGCGCTGACTTAATACCTTTCTCCGTCTAGCCTACCAGAAGGATGCCGTCTTGGCTTACCTCTTGAAGTGTGCACCTGCATATGGCAAAGATATCAACAAGTTTTCATGTGGTGCATACCCAGATGTTTCAACTATCAGAGGCGGGCAACGGGTCTATCGGTTTTTTGGGTTCGATCTGTATACGCGCATACAGATCCCCGGAGGTTTTCAACGATGTTGCCATGGGACACAATCCTAGGTGCCCGGACGGCTTTGCAGCGAGTCCGAGGCGGAAGCCGGTTACGGCACACGGAACTCCGTGATATGAGGAGATGCGGAGCATGCTGCGCTGGAACTGCATCCTAGTAGTTGTTTTGAGTATACAACGTTATCTAGATACTAGGGCTTGTTGGGCTCTGCAAATCTGTCAATGAATACAATAGCTCAGTCGTCCGACCAGCTGACCTCGTCGACATCATGAAATGGTGCTTGCTGAAAATGACTATTAGGAGTAATGATTATTAACCCCCTTCTTGCCCATTTCCATCTCATCAAACCCGACTCATTGTTCTAAACGAGGCTAGCGCAATCATCAATAGCGCT